TTCAACACTGCCAGGGATGGGGCAGCCACAGCTTCCCTGGGCAACCTGGGCCAGGCTCTCACCACCCTCACACCAAAGAATTCCCTCCTCATCTCCAGCCTCAATCTCCCTCTTCCAGTTTTATAGAATCACAGAATGATTCGGGTTGGAAGGGGCCTTAAAGATCACCTGACCTTTAAAGATTCAACACAAAACAACAGAGCCAGCAAGGCTGCTTGGAATTAAAAAAAAACAACAAACCAAACAGAAATTCTCAATTTCATAGTGTTTCTGTACTACTTAATGTTGGTGTGGTGACTCTCTGAGGGGTGTCAATGACTCAGAGCGTTTCCTACATGGAGATCTCAGCTTGGATCACCTGCAGCTGTAGAAACATTCAGTTTAAAACCATTTCCCCTTGTCCTACCACTGCCTTGTGTGTTAAAAACTCCCTCCCCAGCTTTCCTGGAGCCCCTTCAGGCACTGGAAGCTGCTCTAAGGTCTCCCTGGAGCCTTCTCTTCTCCAGGCTGAACACCCCAACTCTCCCAGCCTGGCTCCAGAGCAGAGCTGCTCCAGCCCTCAGATCATCTTTGTGGCTCCTCTGGACCCTCTCCAACAGCTCTGTCTCTTTCCTGTGATGAAGGCAGCATCAGGCAGCATCAGAACAATTACTCTAAGAATGAGCCTTTTAACAGCATCTCTTTGCTTCCTCAGTGGAGAGTGAAAATTTTCTTAAATCCACCCTACTCATGTGCTGGTAAAGCCACTCAATTCCCAGTCAGAGATACCACTGCAGGCTTTTCTGATGTCCCTTTTTTGTTATTTTTTATAAAAACACGTGCACTTGTTTTAACACAAGAATTAAAAATGCAGGTGGTGATACAGCTCTTGAGGGCTACGAGATGAAAGAGAGAGGCTACCTAAGTACTGAGGAGAGAAGAAACCCTGAAAGCTAGAGAGCAGGGAAAACTGACAGCTCTTTCTGCCAGGCAGATAAACCAGACACAGAGCAAGGCTCAAGTTCTCCGTAGGTAAAACAGGACCAATGTTTTATTGTTGTGTTTTATGACTCAATGGGTGGAAAGAAACAAAGAAAACGAATTTAAAAAACCACCAAAAATACAGGCCAGGTACAAAAGCATCAGTTCAGTGTGCAGCCAGGGCAAACTGTCTGCAACCTGAAGGGACAGCAGATCTACTCCACACACTGTTTTAATACAAAATCCTATGGATACAGGTCTGTGACATTTTATCATGGGGAAGACTGAAATAGGAGAGAGAAAAGGCAGCTTCATTTCCACCTTTATCTGTCTGGACGGGTCATTCCTGGCCTGGTTGGCACCATCATGGGTCTGGAGGGTGGTCTCATCATTGGTGGCCCTGGCATCATTGGCATGTGTCCTCCCATCGGGGGTCTCATCCCTGGGGCTACAAAGGGAAAAAGAGGATGTTAGAGATGGGAGTCCCATCAGTGCAGGTTCCTCCCCCAGCAGTTCATTTCACAAGTGTGTAAGCTTTCATCTAGAAGCTGGCTGAGATGGATGGTATTTCCCTGAAGGATATTAGTAATTAGCAGAGGAAGAACCAAGCTCCTGGGTTATACACCCACTTGACAATATTCAGTGGAACAGGTTGCCCAGGGAAGCTGTGGCTGCCCCATCCCTGGCAGTGTTGAAGGGCAGGTTGGATGGGGCTTGGAGCAGCCTGGGCTGGTGGGAGGTGTCCCTGCCCGTGCAGGGGGGTTGGAACTGGATGAATCTTTAAGTTAGTCTTTTGCAACCCAAACCATTCCACAATTCTATAAAATTATTTTCAACCACTCAAAAGAGATACCAGTTTAATTACGGAATTAGAAAGTTCGTTTGGAAAAAAAGTGCTGCAAAATCCTCCAGTACGTAAAGAAAACAAATTGAAAGACCAGTGTACTTTGTCCAGCTGGGTATTAGCATTAGCAAAGAAAAGCAAGTGCTCTGCTAAAAGGCACTGAAATAATGGTTTCCATCCAACATCTCAATTTATTTTCAGGCAGCCACTACACTGCCCAGTTATCACAGATCAGGCACAGATTTTGTGCCCTTAAAAACACAGAATAGTTTCTACCAGCAGGGCAATAATTGCAAAGACACTTCTTGACACAGTGTCTTTAGATTTCTTTCAGTAACTGCTTCAACAAAACATCCTCTGAGAATTCTTGAAATGCCAGTGAGCTCAAACATGGAAAGGATCTTTTAGTTTGTCGTTGCAGTCCTAAAAAAAAAGACTTTGGAAGGCAGGTGGCTTCTCTGGAACACATTGTCTTGAGACATTTTAAATAATACAACTAATTTCATGCTGAAATGTACCCCTTATGCAAAAACAGAAGCTCTGCAAACACAGGATTCCTAAACAATTAAAGATTGTACTGCCAAGACTGGAGGTAGAAAAGCTACAATTTACTATAATTTCAGTTGCCCAGAGGGACTGGTAACCCCCAACGAGTAGGAAAGGAACTTTAATTAGCAGGTGTAAGACTGTTTAATGTCTCACCACACAGAGAAAATGGATCAGCAAATGTGTGTACACAGTCTGTGCAAACTGAAACACTTGCAGAGGTTGGAACTTGGGGTGTCCCCCCACCCTGTGGTTGCATGAGGGCTGAAGCGACTGCAGCTCACACCCAGGGACTGCTGCTGCTCCACTGAACCACAGAGTGGTGGGCTTGACCTCTAGAGATCATCCAGTCCAACCCCTCTGCTAAAGCAGGATCCCCTAGAGCAGATCCCACAGGAACACATCCAGGTGGGTTTTCAATGTCTGCAGGAATGGAAACTCCTCAAGCTCCCTGGGCAGCCTGTCCCAAGGCTCCGTCACCCTCACAGTAAAGAAGTATTTTCTCTTATTCAGGTTAAACCTCCTGTGTACCAGTTTGTGCTCATTGCCCCTTGCCCTGTCACTAGGCACCACTGAGAACAGTCTGGCCCATCCTCCTGACACCCCCTGGAGATATTGATCAGCACTGATGAGATCTGAGATCCCCCTCAGCCTCCTTTTCTCTCAGCTGAACAGCCTCAGCTCTCCCAGCCTTCCTCACAGGCAGATGCTCCAGTCTCTTCATCACCTCAGTGGCCTGTGCTGGACTCTCTCCAGCAGTTCCTTGTCCTCCTTCAACTGGGCAGCCCAGAACTGCACAGTTGCCCAGGTAGGGCCCCACATTTTCCAAGTTTCTTTCCCAACTCCTTATTTCCCAGCGAGACAGCAAATAGAACCCAAACAACCCCCAAACCACAGCCTGAAATTACAGGGATTGACCTATTTCCAGACTTACCAGGACCAACTGGCATCATTCCTGGTGGAGGTGGGCCCATCATTGGCATCATTGGTGGCCCCCCCATGTGAGGGGCTGGCATCATGCCAGGCCTGGGGGGTCCAGCTGAGCACACAGAGAGATCAGTCAGAGACCTGTTGGCTTTCAAACTCATCAATCCTAAACAGTTCTTCAACTTCACAGGAAATTTTAGTCATAAAGGTGTCTGAGATTGTTTTACAACTGCCTGCCTTAGTTTGCAGTTTCAATTCTGATTTTAGGTGCCAAAAAAAATGAGCCAGAGGAACACACCAGCTCCTACCTCCACCTCTAATGGAGATGGCTACCACTTCCAACTGCAGGACTCTAAGCAGAAAGGAACTTTAAGACTTTGCCAGCTCAAGTGCAGACTATTCTATTTTATAATAGACTATTCTATCTTATAAAACCCACCCAAACACTGTGCTGGAAGTTTTACTGAAGATGTTTACACAGCTGGCAATTAATGAGGAGGCACAGGTCTATTAACATGCTAATGTTACTAAACTGAGACAAACTAAGGATGAAAGTGGTGGCTGAAACAGTCTCACTTTGATACCCACACAAATGTCTCAGCCTGATTTCAAGCTGAAAGGACTTTTCTTAACAAGTGTCTCATGGGTTGACAAAACAAGACAAGCAACACCCAGCACAGCTCCAGAGGGCTGCGATCCCAGTCAGACACCACCCAGTGGAGACTTACGGATGCTGGGAGGAGGTGGGATCATGGCTCCTGCAGGGGGTGGTGCCGAGAACGGCGTCGGTGGGATTTTGCCTTGCTGGAATGCAGCCGCTACATTGGGGGGGAAAAGAAAAAAAAAAAAAAGGAAAGAAAGAATCCCAGGAGAAAAAAAAACCAGTTACAAGGCTCAGGAAGGGCCTGTGTCCATCGTCCGTCTCATGCCACACGGTCACGTCATGCTGCGTGCTCGGTTGTCCTAACTCTGGAACAAATCCCTGGATTATGCTGCTTGTCATGGTGGAAGGACCTGATAATTCTTGAAGGCAATTAGTAATTACTCCTCCAGTCGGGACTAGAGAGCTCCTTGATGGATTTCACACAGGGAACAGCATGGGAGAGAAAAAAACACATCGCGGGATTTGCAGGTTGCGACTTTCGGCTGGGATCACTGGGTAAAGACATGCTGACCTGGAAAGGGACAGGAGGGAATGGCTGGGGCAGGTGACAAGAAGCATGAAAACCATGGAGAGGTGAAATTCAAAAGGCTGAGATCGACTGGAGGGAAAGGGGAAGATGTGAAAGTTGGAAACTTCACCAGGAAAATGGACACGAGGAAATGGAACGAGGCTACGTCAGGGAAGGGTCAGGCTGGAGAGCAGGAAAAGGCTGAGAGGGTGGGTGGTCCCTGGAACAGGCTCCCCAGGTGGGAACAGCTCCCCTCAAAGCTCAAGGAGCACCTGGGCAATGCTCTTCAGTCACAGGGTTTGGTTTCAGGAAGCCCTGCCAAGAGCAGGGAGTTGGAATGGATGAACCATATGGATCCCTTCTGAGATCATTCTGTGATCTCAGGAAAGGTGCCATGGAGCTGATCTGCCATTTGGTCTTCTTTTCATGGAGAAAAGAATCATCACTCAGAGGACAAGTACCCTATAAGCTAACTTTACACTTTATTCAAGCCTTTAATAGCAAGAGAGGGGAAAAAAAATAAATCCAGTATCCCTCAAGAACTGAGGGCAACTAGAGCATTAAAATAAATATCAAACATCCATCCATTTTAATGTCCATTTTCCTATCTTTTGGATTTCTTAATCATGCTTTTTTACATGAACATGCTGCTACCAAAAAGCAGAAATGTGTTATATGACCTAATATGACATTCCCAGCAAGGCTCAAGGCCCCACGAGTGAAGCAGAAAGTGCCTCAGTCTCTCCTGTGGAAACCCACCCAGATGACCTCAAAATTCAGTGAAGTTTTTTCTCCTGATTCCCAGAGCAAAGACTCAGCAGGGAAGGGAGGAAGAAGGGAAGAAAAGCAGTTGGAGGAAAGACAGAGGAAGCAAGGAGAGAACAATCCAGGGTCAGGGAAGGAGTAACCTTACTTGTTTTGTCAATCAGGCTCTGAGCTTGCTCCTCCATCCATTTCTGGTAATAATCCTTCACATTCTCCTTGTGTTTTCGGCCACTGCAGTGGGTTTTCCTCACGGAGGGCTGAGGAACATCACAAAACCCAAAAGGTTACATTGCATCTCCTCCTAACTCATCACAACACTGGTGGGCAGCTGTGAGTACCAGCTGCCTTTGGCTGCTGACAGTTAAATTACTGCTATTCTCATTTATTTTATGCAAAAAAAGGAGAAGTGAGAAGTCAAGTAGGACAGGGTAACATTCCCAGTGACCTGACTTGGGTTTAAATTTTATTTTAACGCACTTAGAATCACAGCCTGGTTTGGGTTGGAAGGGATCTTAAAGATCATCCAGATCCAACCCCCTGCATGGGCAGGGACACCTCCCACCAGCCCAGGCTGCTCCAAGCCCCATCCAACCTGCCCTTCAACACTGCCAGGGATGGGGCAGCCACAGCTTCCCTGGGCAACCTGGGCCAGGCTCTCACCACCCTCACAGCAAAGAATTCCCTCCTCATCTCCAACCTCAATCTCCCTCTTCCACTTTTCGTCCATCCCCCTCATCCCATCCCTCCCTGCCCTTGTCCCAGGTCCCTCCCCAGCTTTCCTGGAGCCCCTTCAGGCACTGGAAGGTGCTCTAAGGTCTCCCTGGAGCCTTCTCTTCTCCAGGCTGAACACCCCCACTCTCCCAGCCTGGCTCCAGAGCAGAGCTGCTCCAGCCTCTGATCATCTCTGAGGCTCCTCTGGACTTCATCCCGACGGGGAATCACTGCAGAAGGTTTGCTACTCACCGAGTCATGGGTGAGGTACGTGTCACAGTAATCACAATAAAACCTGAAGGGGGAAAACTCCGTTACTAAGAACTCACTTCGCACTGTGGGGGTTAAAACGTCCCCCAGGGGCTGCACGGCTGGGCCCGGGCGGCGGTTAAGGGAGGAAGCGTCACCCCGGGACAAGCCCCGACGCCCCTTTTCCCCTATTCCC